TTCGCAGAAATTCCAGTCAATATATTTTTAACGGTCTGTCAGACAGGATGCCCCTCCGACTTGCTAACATTCACACAAGTAAGGTTGACGCTTGCCTACACCAGAGTGCAGAGCCCAGACGATTTTCCGAGTAGTGAAAACGTAGCGCTTGGAAGCTTTTTTGATCTTCCATCTTGGTAGCTCGAAAATGAGGCGATATTTGTATGCACACTAACGACTTAGAAACAGCGCATACATACGTTCCAGTAATAGGAGATAAAGGTGAAGTTCCCCTTCAAGTTGTTACTACAGATGCCGTCGCAACCGGAAATCTGGCCAGTTTGCTGGAGCTTTCACCGTAACTCAACAAAATGCATTTTGTGCATGACAGCTTCAATGTGGAATTGTGGGACTAATTGAAACCCCTACGGATGGCATTGTCGTGTTATGAAGTTTTGCCTTCCAGACACTACTGTCTACCACAAGCCACTTTTAAAAATACATGTAAGCTAGGGTATGGCGACAAGTGAAACTTTAGGAGGTGTCTACGTCTCCGTTCAAGAGATCGAAAACATCTATAAACTTTAGATCCTTTCAATATTTCAGCGTTAACAGGAGGTGCCGTATAGCGGCCGAAAGCCTGCGTTTGAAATGCTGCCAAATATCGCTGAGTATGAACGCAATGCGCAACAAGTGTGCTACCCTATCTACATTAGTCGCAATGCGACTGCCTGCGGAGGATCTAGACTGAGCCCAAGGCACAAGGGAATGAGCACATCGCGTAACCTGATTGGTGGGCGTCCCCGCCGCGGTTAATTTTCCCGATCGCAACCGGATGAATGAGAGGCCCGTGGCTTAACAGTTAGGTCGTCAAATTTACTAACGTCCAGAGTCAAAAGAGGACGGGTTTGAACATCAGTTGTCCCCACATCTGTTGTTGGTCGCGGCTGGCTGAGGAAAGTCGAAAAGTCAGAAACAAACGTCCTGGTCCCATGTTTTCCTTTTAGCAGACGTTTTCTGCTCATACTACTGGTCACTGGGTTATTACCGGCGTCCTCTAACCCGATCAGAAAGCGACCCTTTGCCATAGGTAAAAAATTACTGAAACAAATTCTAAAATCCGCGTATAGTCTACTACAACTCCAAATTTGAGCAGCTTTTCTCAGAGATGTTTACACAGCACATAAGCGTTTATCTGCACATCATTCGCTGGGATTACTTTATCAAATAAAACCTGCTGGTTTTTGAGTTAAATATGTACATTTATATCGTAGTCATAGCATAACAATTTTTTTAAATAGGAGTCCCACTCCTTGTTATGTTTTAGATCTTGGAAAATAATTAATTCTCATGTGTTTTAAGTAAAATGGCTTTATTTACAGCCGATAATCCTTTTCGAAAATTGCACAACAACGGAGATATACACATTGTACCTAACCCACAACTGTTCAGAAACCTCAAGTTAGTACCTTGTTTAATTTCTGAGGAAATAAATGCTTTAATGCGAAATAAAACCCTCAGAATAAAGCTCTTCAGGCACGGTTTGAAAGTCTGTGTGGGAATGTTTGGGCTGAGATCCGTCAGCTACTGCGAAATAATCCCATAATATTCACAATCTGCCAAAAGACAGCCAGGAGTATACAAATATTAGATGGTTTACCATACTGCCAGCATAGGTGCTAACGGACTGCGTAATAATGCCATAGTAAAGGCTACTTCAAGTTCACATTTCAAAGGACCTTTAAACTAAAACCTCTGGAGCGCATATATACTATGATTGGAGTCACCAGACAATAGCAGGCTTTTACGACCGCTTTGTGTTACGATACTTACAGTGAGTGACCGTTCTCAGGAAATGTTGGCTGAAATTCTGAAATGCGTTTTCGATTAAGAAAGATTACTTAGGCGCGGTTTTAATACTGATTATCTTGCCACATAGTCCTAAAATAGTTCGAGTTCGGCGGGATATCAGCTTTTGGATGCACTGCTTTTTAATCCCCTGTAGAAACCCAACCCGGTAAAAAATGAATACTTAAGCTGCCTGCGTTTTCACATTGATTTTCTGTGGTCTAGCAGATTCAAATATATTTGTAGAAATCACGAACAAAATGTGCTTTCTTTCGGTCGTTTAATAGATACTAACGTCATCTCCATATTTTATACTTGAAGAACGAGTGCAATTAGGTTTTAGAAAGTTTCATATTAGGAGATTTTTTAAGACTGCGCAATGTCCATTCACACAGCATCGTACCTGTCCGTTTACCACTGCCCCTCATGAAATATATAACATAGTCCGCATCCGTTATAAAACTTTGTGGACTCTATATGATATCCTTTTAAAGGCATAGAAGAATACGTGATCTTCCTATAGCGGAACGTATGCGCCTAGTAGAAAGAAATAACTAAGCGCTAATTCGATGGCCGATTAGGCTCCAAATTATTCAGGAATCTGAAAACTTTTTTAAAACCCAATTATGCTCCTTCTTTGCTTAGCATCTACCGCGCTCTCTCATCCCTCACCTACGATAACAATAAAAGCCAAGATAGCCGAGGGCAGGCACGGGCGCATCGGCCTGCCATGCTAAACATCCCATTGGTACATGTCGCACATGATCTGATCCTTAAAGTATATGGACGGTCCGGATCTCACATCAGTGGGAGCGCCATAGAGATCATAATGGGTACGAACCACTGAGGTCTGGCCTGATGGTAGCGTTGCAAACCAAAACTTTGAGCACACGTTATGGATTCAAGTGCGTCAGATTTGTTATAACGAAGAATATACGTTGAGAGTCGACCTCACTCTCTCTCTCTCTCGCCTCTTCAAGGCATTAGTCCACTGCCTGGGACCGTCAGTTGCCTGAAGCAGGGTCAGATGCAATGATTAGCAGTGCTTAGCAGTCCGTTACTAGTGCTTCACATGACTAGCCTTTTGCGAAGATGACCTTTTAAAATCATAACAAGAACGGTTGAGTTTCACCTCCCTCCCTAGAAGATTCAACCGGTACATCAAGATATGACTTACAACAGTCTCCGTGTGTCGTTGTATGCACAGGAAACAACAGTTGGGATGGACGCGGAACAAGAGAAGAGACTCACATCCGGTAAAGTGATTTCCATAGAAAAAATTATAGTGCTTGCGAATGCGAAAAACCCCAGACCTATCCGATAACATGAAGTGACCATCTTCGATGCTCAGCCTTGTAGGGCGTTGTAATCCGCCAGTCGAGGCGGCTTCCGGGGTGTGGCTGCTAAGCAGGGTCTTTTTTAGGAGAGAGAAAGTCCAAACCCAAGGGGAACCAGTCCTTAAGGTACTGAGAATAATTTGAAGGCGCTTGACCTATCTCATGAAAGGTCACGAACTGTGAACTTAAATCGCTGCGGCGCATGAAGCGCCCACCCCGGATCCACGAAAGTTATACTGCGTGGAATTTATGACTGAGCTTCAAATTAAGGCAGGGTTTGGTTTGTTAATTATTATTTATCGACTCAGAAATAATTTGTTTTACTTAAAACTACCAAATCAAGAGATGACCCCATGAGAGGTCGACTATTCAAGGCCTAATATAACTGCCAGCAGAGAAGGGAAATGCCATAAAACGACAAAATGATGAGGAGCAGTAACGATATAAAACGTTACGGTTTTGGTAAATATAATTTGTAAAGAGCAAATTGCTACTTGATTCATCAAAATAATGCGTTTTACATAATTGCCTTGACCTAATTTTCACGAACTAAAAATCACAATTTCCACTTACACTTTGAAATTTTTTGTTATATTTACGTTACTTTATAACACAACGCGCGCAAATAAGAGGTTTTAAGGAGGAATACTTATTAGAATAGGAAATCAGATGTATATCCGGAGACGTCAACATTTGCTTAATCTTGGCCTGTTCCCCTTCAATAAAATCGAATTAACATGACCTTTTCCGTTGAAAAGGACTTTTTGTGATTCCAATCAATTCTAAAAACAAAACTAACCACACCAAATGTATGCTGTCCTGCCAATTAAAATACCGGTCTCGACATTTCGTGAGCTAGGTCATCTACTGTAAGTATAACTGCATTATTGATTATCGCGAGGCATAATCCTAGAATATCTTAGTCACGTCAGGATGTGTGCTATTGACTGCACTTCTTTTAGGCCGCCTGCAAAAACAATACTCGATAAAAAGTAACCATTCGGACAGTATACATTTTCTTAATTTTTCAGTCGCCGTATTAATTTAAAGGTATCTTAGGAGAATATGCATAAAATATTATTTTTGCCTTCATTTAACAGCAAATCACGTCTTTTGCAGATCTATATATGAAGAGGGATATATTGTAGATCGGAATATAAAAGCCCTTATAGACCGACAAACGTCATTACTTAAAATAGATAACTTAATGAAGACATGATTTACTATCACATAAGTATGAAAAAACTATTTTTTTGCCGTTCGTCGCCATATATAGGTATGGATATAGGCGAAAATGCCGACCCCAGGTATTGAGATGGAAGAAGGTAGAGAGATCTCTGGGGAGGATGATTTATTCATCTGACTTTTCACATTCATACTTGAGCGCATCATCGGAGATAGATTAAAAGTGGGAATACAAGGTTTAAATAGGTCTTTCTAACTCATTACTGATAGGTCCATTGTTCTCTCTTCCTATTGGCACTCCTTTCCTGCCCAAGTGGTGTCTGACGGCCTCGTATGGCGCCGGTAGGTCGATCCTACGTTTGATCGAGTTGGCGTTGGATTGCCAGGCTTCGATTATCTCTCTCGCCATTTTTCTTTCAGCTCGGCCGATTACTTCTGCCTTTTCGAAGCCGAATTGATGGTTACTTTCGAGGCTATGCATAGCAACAATTGTGGCCAATTGTGGCGCTGAAAGGCACACCTACCTACGGTCTGGCTAAATGGCTTACCAAACATCTGAAGTAGCTGACAGAGAGCTCAGAACACACCGCTATATCCCCAGCACACTTCCTGGAAAGACTCCGAGGCGTCAAAATAGCCCCCGACGAAATAATGGTGTCCTTCGACGTCGTCTCTCTTTTCACCTCCATCCCTAAAGAATTAGCCACGAAGGTCATAAGTGACCTACTGCAGAGGAGGTACGATGAAGAGGAAAGACCTCTGAAAAGGAGGCACATAATGGAGCTACTGGAATACTGGTTGAGCACGTACTTTACGTTTAATGGTCAGGTGTACGAGCAAATCCAGGGAACTCCAATGGGATCACCAATCTCCGGCTACCTAGCTAAGGCGGTTCTACAAGAACTGGAAACGCGGGTCTTTCAGTCCTACATGCCAACATTCTGGATGCGCTACGTGGATGACACCTTTGTCATCCTACCTCGAGACGTGAATGAGACGTTCCAAAACAAATTGAACTCAATATTCCCCCAAATTCAATTCAAAATAGAAGAAGAAAAGGACGGAGAAATCCCCTTTCTGGATGTCCAGGTGTCGAGACAGGAAGACGGAGCACTCCAGACTGGTGTCTTTCGAAAGGCAACTGATACGGCAAAAATCCTCCATTACAGCAGGAACCACCCCTTGTCTCATAAACGCAGTTGTGTGCGGACGCTCTTCCTACGCATCAAAACACACTGCAGCACAGAGGCTGAAAAGTTGCGAGAGCGTAAATCCCTATGGCGTCTCTTTCTCTCCAATGGGCACCCAGGTAGCTTTATAAACAAATGCCTGCATCAAAGGCACACGAAGACCGCTGGTGAACAAAAACAAAAACCTGAAATCTTCCGTGCTTTGCCCTACGTGAGTGACGTTTCCGAAGCCACCGAACGCATGCTCAGACCACTCAACGTGGGCCTTGGACACCGGCCGGAGGTCACTATCCGCCGCTTGCTCATGCAGCCTAAGGGGCGGCTACCACCTGAGGACACGTCAGGAATTGTTTACCGCGTCAACTGTCTAGATTGTCCGGCCAACTGTTGTGGCATGATCGGCAAACGATTAAGGTCGCGCATGCATGAGCATTCTCTAGCTGTAAAGCGAAAGGATGTGCGATCACATGTTGCTATGCATAGCCTCGAAAATAACCATCAATTCGGCTTCGAAAAGGCAGAAGTAATCGGCCGAGCTGAAAGCAAAATGGCGAGTGAGATAATCGAAGCCTGGCAATCCAACGCCAACTCGATCAAACGTAGGATCGACCTACCGGCGCCATACGAGGCCGTCAGATACGACTGAGCCTAGACTGAATTTCTGGCGAGGAGATTTTGCTGCCATCAGAAGGCAATTATCGGCAGTGGACTGGGATGACTTTCTTTCCGGACATCCAGACATCTCAAAGGAGTTGTAACAGACATCATGCATCGAAACTGTCCGACAAAGAGAGTCAAAAAGAATAATCGTCCTGCCTGGGTAACACGGGATATAAAGAAAGAAGTAAACCGGAAAAACAAACTATGGCGAAGGTATTCAACAATAAAACAACCATCCCATTACGAGCAATTTCGTCGAAAGCGAAACGAGGTAAGGGGGGCTATCCGCAGGTCGCGGAAGGAGTATGAAATGCGAGTTATGGAACGGGCCGTTGATAAGCCAAAAGTGCTCTTCAGTTACATAAACAGTAGGTTAAAGAACAAGGAGACGGTCGCAGTGTTGAAAGGAGAAAACAATGAGGATATCATCGAAAATGACGCTAAGGCAGAAAATCTAAGCCGGTTTTTCGTATCGGTTTTCACCGATGAAACGGACTTTGACGAGGCTAGATCTCCTGCTGGGACAACCGACGAAATAATAGAAAACATCGACTTCACGGAAGAAGATGTGAGGAAGGAACTTCTAGCGCTTAAGGAGGGCAAGTCTCCGGGCCCAGACCAAATTCCGGCAAAAGTGCTGAAGGAGTTGTCTTGCGAACTCGCCAAACCGCTTTGGCACATCTTTAGGTCCTCCTTTGACCGAGGCATTCTCCCCTCTGATTGGAAAGTGGCGAACATATACCCCATTCACAAGGGCGGATCCAGAACAAGTACAAACAATTATCGGCCGGTGAGCCTAACGTGCATTTGTTGCAAAGTCATGGAGAGAATAGTCAAAAAATCCATAATGAAGTTCCTTGAAAAAAATAATTTCTTTGCTAGTTCTCAGCATGGCTTTCGACGAAACCACTCCTGCATAACTAATATGCTTCATTCAACGGAACAGTGGTCTCGCTCGTTAGACGCAGGAACAAAGGTCGATATCGTTTACATAGATTTCAAGAAAGCCTTTGATAGTGTTCCACACCACCGGTTACTTTACAAGGTCCGAGAGTCAGGGATAAGGGGAAACCTATTAAACTGGATAAAGGACTTTCTGACTGGTCGATCACAGTCTGTGTGTATTGGTAGTGCGAAGTCAACACCGGTGCCAGTTGTGAGTGGAGTTCCGCAGGGCTCCGTACTCGGACCAGTACTATTTTTAATTTATGTCAACGACTGTATGAATGGACTGGACTGCAATGGAGTCATATTTGCTGATGACATCAAGTTATGGCGAGCGATCAACGGCGAACATGATGAACGGGCCCTGCAAGAAGGACTGAACCGCCTATGCGAATGGTCTGACAAATGGCTGCTAAAGTTTAACCTAGAGAAGTGCGTCGCGCTGCGACTCAAAACGACTGGAAGATCTGACGGAGAGGATCACCATTACCAACTTGGTGGAAGGTGCCTTTCGAATGTAACCGAACAAAAAGATCTTGGGGTTAACATTCTGTCGACCCTTAAGCCCCCATCTCAGCGTCTTAGAGCGTCCAAAAGAGCAACTAGTGTTCTCTTTGCCATTAAACGATCTTTCGTGGACATAGACAAAGAGTTATTTTGAAAAGTATACGGAGCGTTCATTCGCTCGCTTGTCCCACACTACCCACCTAACTGTGCCGTCACCGCTGCCTCGGGGATTTTCGGGGGGTGAGGAGTGGATGCAGTTAACACCAGCGCCTGCCTGCCCCCCCCGCACAACCCACATTATGGGGCTCTCGCCCAATATCAGTTCAGTATTGTGCAGCTCGGCTTGCGGAAGCCCGGTTGCGGTCACGGCTGCCGCGTTCTGCAGCTTCAGGTCTGCTTCGTTCACAACATCATGACCACAGCCAGCTGGGAGTGGCGAATGGCGCCAGCGAGGAACAGCAGACCAGCGTCCGACACACCTCCGTGTTCAGCATTCACGCAGCTTGATGCTGTTGTAAATGACGGCACGACAACAACCGTTGGAAAACTAATGATTGTAGGGTAAGGTGATACCATTTATACCGGCAGTCGGAGACCGGTTCCAACGCAACATTCATTTACTTATCGGGATGGTACCAATGGATATCACTTCAACGTTAGGATGATAAATGCAGTCAGTGACGAGGTAACGCACATGAAATGCAGCGCAATTACCTACTACTCCTACCGACTTATGATTCGACAGAACGTAAGTAATCCCCTTTTGAAATGCCGTCAATTGCTTCATCACTGCATTGTGGATATGTATGCAAAAATCGAAACTGAACGCCAGCTGCGCTCTGAAGAATATATTCCTTTCCCTGATGCTGTTGTAAACGACGGTAATACAGATAACGTTGGAAGACTAACGCTTTTGTCGTCCAGATACACAGAGAGTCCACACCATATATTCGAGTACGCTCGAGGTGCAACTGCTTATGTTTGTCAGTACTGGGCGTCCAGACCTACTCATTACATTCACCTGCAATCCAGCCTGGGGGATGTTTATCAGCTCTTACCTCCTGGGCAATCGACGGTAAATAGGCATGACATCACAGCACGTGTTTTCAGGAAGAAACTGCAATCGCTGTTGAACTTCATGGTGAAACACGAGGTGGTTGGGTCTGTGCGCTGCTGTATGTATTAGGTGGAACGGCAAAAGACGGGACTGCCCCATGCATATGTCATGATCTGGCTCTATAACAAGACCCCTTTCAACGAAATCGACGACGCAGTATGCGCCGAATTACCTGAAATCGACGTTAACAATGATTTGCATGAAGTTGTGCCGAAGAATATGATACATGGACCTTGGATGCACTGAATCCCAATTCTCCAACCCCCGCCCTCCCCCGGAATGATAGACGGAAGTCCCTTTTACCGAAAATGATCAGCGGAAGACGTCGGCAAATTGGCCACCGTACGAATGCGAATCGGTGACATAGAAGTCGGTAACCGCTGGGTTGTTTCGTATTCGCCTTTGCTTTTAAAAGCAAACGCAGCTCATATAAACGTGGAACACTGCAATTTTGGCAAATGAATTAGGCACATTTGTAAGTACGTGAATAAAGGCAGCGACATGGCTGTTTTCGGCCAGCAACACGAAAGTAGATAAAGGGATGCGGACATACAACACAATGAAAGCGCACAGTATTTGGCTGGAAGATGCGTCAACGGAAAGAAATCCACGTGGAGTATTCTTCTATTCCCCATCCATGAGCGAAGTCCAGGTGTTGTTCGCTTGCAGTACAGTTAGAGAATGGGCAATGCGTTTACTTTTCCCATGCAAACGCGCAACAGGTTGCCTTAGGTCCACTGGCAACAACACCAACTGCGTTCTGCACGTTAAGCCAAAGTGACGCGTTTGCGAAAACACTGCCGCATTCGAAAGTGCCGACGTATTACACAGGGAATGGGCGTAGAAAATCATCCGAACAACGCAAACGAGGAGGGCGAGTGGACGGACACCCCGGCATACTCAAAGAAACTGCGATAGGCAGACTGCATACCGTGCATCCCAATCTTACTTCGCATGGTGTTGATGAATGTGCCACGTCCAACGTCTTTCCAGCAATTGAAGTCTGTCAACGGCGCTACGCATGCCACTTTCAGCAGTGCGTGTCAGGCTCTTCAGTTACTGGAGAACGATCAACAGTAGGACGTATGTATTAATGACGCCTGCAGCACGTCCCATCCACATCAAATTCATGCATTGTTTGCAGTCATATTGATCGCATTCTCTCCTCATCTCCAGCAGATTTACCGGAGAAATAGAATTTGCATATGGCTGAAGATACCTTCCGTCAACTACGCAAGGAAAATTCAAATGTGGCTTGCACAGCAGGAATCAACAGCGAGGCGTTAATATTGATTGAGGATATGTACGCAGAAATCGCGAGCAAAGTTCTTAATCAACTGGGAATCTCACCGCAAAACCAATCTGCTGCTGCTTCGTTTGATGTGGATTGGCGTCATGAGCAAAATGAAACACGGTTCAACTTCTGCCATGCTTGCAATCAAACATTCACAAGCTAAGACTGGAGCAGAATGACATTTACGATCAAATACTGCGGAATGTCAGTAACGGGGTTGGAGGAATCTCCTTCCTAGATGCGCCGGGGGGGACTGGCAAAACGTTCCTACTACGACCGATTCTGACGGCATTTCGATCCAATAAATGACATAACCCTAGCACTTCCAACCCCGGAACAGCTGCAACTCTGCTACCTGACAGAAAACCCGTTCATCCAGCTTCGAAATTGCCCTTGAACGCGCAAATCATTAAAGCTCCGGCGTGCAACATTTCCAAAGCCTCCGGCATGGGAAAAGTACTGCAGAAATGCAAACGTATTGTTTGGGATGAATGCACAATGGCGCAAAAAAGCTCTCGGGGCCCCTGATCGAGCACTGCAGTATTTGCGGGGAAACAGCAGACCATTTCTGGTGCACTGTTACTGCTTGCAGGAAACTCCAGGCCACCGCTGCCTCTATCGACACCGATGGACGAAATAAATGCCAGCAGTCACCACTTACTTCAGAATTCTCGAGCGCGACTGGGTGCAGAAAGCAAATGCCCTGCCTTCGATAGCTGCTAGAAAGACAATCCGGGGTTTCGCACTCAATACGTACCGCCAACCGGTGGCCCTTACATTTTTCTTAATTGGGAACGTGCTCCTTCCTCTTTCCCTTATTTCCCAATTCATCAGATTGAGCCACAGCAACGCGTGGCGGAGTCCGGCTAGCATTTTATAGAAAACATGCATAAAAATATGCTTTATTCTACTCGTTTGGTAGGAAACCGCATTTTCTTCACATTTTATACACGAAGAAAGTGCATATTTAGATTTTGAAAATGTTTCCCAATTTCCGAATAATTTTGATCCAGATCAGATGTTCATTAGCGTTTAGCGATTTCAGTCTACAGAGTGCATACCTTTCACGTGAGGAAAATAATATATTCCTTTATGCCTTTTAAATATACCATACAGAGTTCAT